CTGTATATTCTAACACATTATTAAATTTCTCTAAATAATGGAGCTGTTTTTGAATCTAAGAAAGTCTTAGCCATTTTTATGAAGAGACTTAGGGAATTAGCAGTTCTTAATCTTTTCTTAGGTTAGGAATTAGTTTTTTCTTTAAAAAGACACATAACTATTAACTAACATATATCTGCATCATACAAACAGAATTTTATAATTTCAGATGTTTATGGGTCTCCCTAAAGACCGTCCAAGGACCCTCACGTTAACAGCCTTGATAGATGCCCCCACCCCAGCACAGTTCTCGGATGTAATAATCCATGTATTTATGTGGGCAAACACTTTCATTCATTATATTTGACCTTCCTTGTAAGCCAATCACGTTAGGACTGAGATTTTATTATAGATGAGGAAGCAGAGGCTTAAGCAATCAATCTGCCTGTCTAAGTTGATTTTGTGCTGCCAAGCAGAATACCACAGACTGTAACTTATAATGAACAGAAACTTATTAGCTTACAGTTCTGGAGCCTGGGAAGTCCAATATCAAAGTACCAGCATCTGGCCATCCTCCTCTTGCTGAGTCATCACATGGTGGAAGGCAGAAGGGCCAACAGCCCAAGAAAGCACACCTATTTCCAGAGCCCATTTTATAAGAGCATTAATCCATTGATGAGGAGAGCACCCTCATGACCTCAGTATCTCCTGTTATGCCCACCTCCCAAAACTGTTGCAAACCATAACACTGCCTAGTCATGTGTTTTGTGTTTCAGAAATCGTATTCCTCCTGTGTCCTGGTCAACAAAGAGTTAAGTATAACTTATTTGTGACCAAGACCTCAGAACTTTGTTGGTATTCTTCTTACTTTTGAATCATGTATAACTGCAATTATAATGTATTACCCAAAGTTTAGAAAAGCATAGTAACCGCAAACTGCTCAATGGGTTGAGTGCAGAAACCTAAAGCTGATTCAGTTTAAATGGGAGGTGGTGCAAAGCAGATGGGGCATGCCTCTTTTGACTAAACATAAACTCTGTATTCAGAGAACATTAAAGACCTCTTCTCAGTGACTCTTCTTTTATTAAAAGAAATTTATTGTTTAATTGACAAATAAAAATTGTATATGTTTAGAATATACACAGATGTTTTGATAAATGTATACATTGTAGAATAGCTAAATCAAGCTAATTAACATATTCATTACTCACTCAGTGACTTTTCTAGACTTTTTTTCCCCTTCTAGACAAAGACCTTTACTTTTTTAAATTTAGAAATATTTTAAGCTTACAGAAAAGTTGTAATAATAAGAAAATCACATTAGAGCACCCTTATGCCCTTTATCCACATTTACCTATTGGTAACATTGTGCCTTATTTGCTTTGTCATTTGCTTTCTCAGATACTGGGAAAAGCTCTCTTGTTCTGTCTCTCTTTATAAAAATGTGGGTAAAATATTTGTATTTTTAATGTATTTATATTTAATTTTTTTTTGAGACAGCATCTCACTCTGTTGCCCAGGCTGGAGTGCAGTAGCATGATCTTGGCTCGCTGCAACCTCTGCCTCCCAGGTTCAAGTGATATTCCTGCTTCAGCCTCCCTAGTACATGGGATTACAGGTGCCCACGACTGTACCCAGCTAATTTCTGTATTTTTAGTGGAGACGGGGTTTCTCCATGTTGGCCAAGCTAGTCTCCAGCTTCTGACCTCAGGTGATCTGCCTGGCCTCCCAAAGTGGGATTACAGGAGTGAGCCATTGCACCCGGGTTTTTTTTTTTTTGGAGACATAGTCTCACTGTGTTGCCTCGGCTGGAATGCAGTGTTGCGATCTCAGCTCACTGCAACCTCCGCCGCCCGGATTCAGCGATTCTCCTGCCTCAATCTCCCAAGTAGCTGTGACTACAGGCATGTGACACCACACCTGGCTAATTTTTTTTTTTTTTTTTTTGGTATTTTTAGTAGAGATGGGGTTTTACCATTTTCACCAGGCTGGTCTCAAACTCCAGACCTCAAGTAATTCACTTACCGTGGCTTCCCAAAATACTGGTATTACAGGTGTGAGCCACCATGTCCGCCCTATATTTAATATTTATTTCTAATATTTACATTGGGAATCTGAATCTGTACCAATACATCCAACTCTTAAAGTTCTTTCTTGATTTCCTTCAATTCATATTTGTGTATCACTTTCATAGTGAAAATCCTATTTTCCAACAATATCAATGTATTTACTCATTTTCTCAATTCTGTAATACATCTAAAATTATTTCAGAATTGCTTCACTACTACAAAAAAAAAGGTAGTAAAAAGAGTTAGGATGTTTTGCATTTCTTACAACGCCATCCAAGATGTACGGTATGCGGTCAGATACTGTCTTTGCAAGTTTCTTGAATGTTTTCCCTTTCCTTTAATGCTGTTCTTTTATTCATTTAAAATACAATTGGGTTCATTTGCTTCAGTTTGCTTTAGTTTATCATTCACTCCTTACTGATGTAATTTTATTTTTTTGAATATGTAGCATATCAATATGCTTCCAAATGTCAAAATTAAAGAGAAAAGGTATACTCATTGACGTGCCACTCCCTTCCATGCTCATTCTATACCATTCCTTCCTACTCTTGTAGGTTCATTGGCTTTGGTTATCCTTTCTGTATTTCTTTTTGTAGAGGTAAACCAATGTAAGTGAATTATTCCCCCTTAAGTCTTACACAAAATGTAGCGTATTGTATTTTTCTTTTGTCTTGTTCATTTAACAATATCTCCTGGAAATCACTCTTTATCAGTCATAGAGATCAATCTTGCTCTGTTCCCAGCTGCACAGTACTCCATTATTTGTATGTACCATTGTCTATTTATCTAATTTCTTATATTTGACCAGTTAGGTAGTTTCTAACATTTTGCCATAACAAGTAATGTTGTAGTTAATAGCCTTGTGCATATATTTTCATTTTATTGGATGTATATCTTCAGGGTAAATTTCTAGGAGAGGGATTATTGAAATGAAGGGTGAACGTATATGCAATTTTGTAGATGTTGCCAAATTTCCTTCCATTGTGTTGTAATCTATTCCCTTCCTTCAAAGTGCCTGTTACCCATAGCCTTATGTCAGAGCATATTGTCAAGCTTTTAAATCTTTGTCAGTGTGATGGGCTTGAAATGGTATTTCAGTGTGGTTTTAATTTTCATTTCTCTAATCTTGATCAAGTTGAAAATCCTCTACTTTTTGAAGTAAGAGGATTGCTAGCACATCAACATGACTTAAAATTCAAGGTGCTACTAAAGAATACATTTTTGCTTACATTTGGCCTTTCAGACTCTGATCAGACTACAAACTTCAGTCAGTAGAAGGCCAATCTTATCTTTGAGTGGAGAATAGAAATTTGTTGGTACTTAAAAAACTTCCTTTGGACGACTGTGCCTTTACATTTCTCTTCTTTTCTTATGGTACTTCTAGGTTGGCCAGGTTCATGGTGGCTTGATGGGAATTATTCAGAGAGCTATGGTCAAGGCTTGTCCTCATGTCTGGTTTGAACGCTCAGAAATGAAGGATCGACACCTGGTTACTAAGAGGTAAGCAGTCAAATTACTCAGCAATCACTGGAGTAGCATAAAACAAGCGGCACTGAGTCTCAAAACTAAAACGGAGCTCTGTTTGCAGTTGGATTTTTTCTGGCAAATCGCCTGTCTTAGCCAGATTTTAAAAATATATAATTCTGTAGTCATGGTGGGGTATGTGATGGGATTAGAAGGCCAATGTGTTTATATTGCTGTGACTTAGATATAGGCCAGTCCCTGAATTTGCAAAGTTAAAAATTACCACCTTTAAATTAGATATGTTTTCACTTGAGTATGAGCAATTAAAAAAATAAATGAGATATGTTGACTTTACCTCAATTTAAAAAAGTATACAAAAAGGAAAAAAATTACCACCTTGAAGGTTAAATAATTGATAACTACTTGCTAAATAAATAGATGATTAATTAAGTGTTTGCTGGATGATTGTTCTCACTTAAATCCAGCTAGAAGCTGGGCATGGGGTCTGACATCTATAATCCCAGCACTTTGGGAGGCCAAGGTGGGATAATGGCTTGAGCCCAGGAGTCTGAGACCAGCCTGGGCAACAGAGTGAGACCTCATCTCTACAAAAAATTAATAAAATTAGCGGAATATGGTGGCACATGCCTGTGGTCCCAGCTACTTAGGAGGAAGGATCGCTTGAGACCATGAGGTTGAGGCCGCAGTGAGCTGAGATTACACTACTGCCCTTCATTCTAGGCAACAGGCGGAGACCTTGTCTTTAAAAAAAAAAAAAAAAGTCCAGCTAGAGACAGCGAAATGGGAGAAGGAACCTCTGGGGTTTGGGGTAGAGATGAGCTGTTAGAAACCTTGGTTGGGAAACATCCTTTGGCCTGAGGCCTTTAACTGAAGGCACATTGGTTGTTGCTTCTATAAACACAAAGGTGGTCCATTACTCTTAAAAGTATAATGAAAAGTACTTGCTGAAGTTAGAAAAAGGATTCCCTATCTTGAGATCATGTGGCAGTGGGACACTCTGGCAGCTGTAATCTGGCTACCTCAGCCCTTACCAGGTCTGGAGAGAAGAGTTGGGAATATAGGGTTGGCTGCAGGGAGGACAGGACCTAAGCCTGGAAGAACGTCAGTCTTTCTGAGCTTCATGGTGTGCATTTAATAGGAAAGTTCAACCTGAATCACTTAAGTGTTGTCTTGCACTTAATGGCCATAATGCATTTAGGTCCAGCAACCCAATATTCCCATTTTTCAGATGAGGAAGCCTAAGTACATGGAGAAGATCACAAAGTTCATGACATGGAGGCTCCAGAGTCCATGTCACATGACTGTCTAGTATTCTAAGAGTAGGCGAAGACAATGAAAATCACTTACTTTGGTCCAGGCATGGTAAGGCTTTGGTCTGGGCACAGTTGATCATGCCTGTAATCCCAGCACTTGGGGAGGTTGAGGCAGGTTGATTGCTTGAGCTCAGGAGTTCGAGACCAGCCTGGGCGACATGGTGAAATACCATCCCTACAAAAAATACAAACACTTAGTTGGGTGTGGTGGTGCACATCTGGGGTCCCAGCTACTTGGGAGGGTGAGGAGGGAGGATTGCTTGAGCTCAGGGGATGGAGGTTGCAGTAAGCCGAGATTGTGCCACTGCACTCCAGCCTGGATGACAGAGTGACCCCACATCTCAAAAAAAAAAAAAAAAAAGGGAAAATCACTTACTTTGAAATTAGAGAAATTATAATGGTGCAGATCTATTTTGCTTTTTAAGAAAGGAAACAACTCAAATTTCTTTTTTTTTTTTTTTTTTTTGAGACGGAATTTCGCTCTTGTTACCCAGGCTGGAGTGCAATGGCGCGATCTCGGCTCACCGCAACCTCCGCCTCCTGGGTTCAGGCAATTCTCCTGCCTCAGCCTCCTGAGTAGCTGGGATTACAGGCACGCGCCACCATGCCCAGCTAATTTTTTGTATTTTTAGTAGAGACGGGGTTTCACTGTGTTGACCAGGATGGTCTCGATCTCTTGACCTCGTGATCCACCTGCCTCGGCCTCCCAAAGTGCTGGGATTACAGGCGTAAGCCACCGTGCCTGGCTCAAATTTATTTCTTTTACCTATATCTCAATTCTTTTCTCCTTATTGCTTCACAGTTGTGCCAGTAAAGTATAAAGAATATCAAAAAGGACATCCACTTCTCTCTTTGTACAGGTGGAATTTTGATCCTTTATATTTTTTCACAGACTAAAAGAACATATTGCTGATAAGAAGAAATTACCCATATTAATTTTTCCTGAAGGTAAGAATGGACTGCCTTCCGAGCCATAGTTGATAACAATAAACTACCAAAAGTGTGAGGAATAGAATTGCCATAGAATTGGCCATCTTAGCCCAGATATCTGCTCTAATAGGAATGAGATGGCATTCTCTGAGCTATTAATTCCTTACTTTCTTTTGAGATTTGATAGAAATCATGTTAGCTTTTTAATTCAATAGTCATTTCTGGGTAATGAACTCAGAGCAGAATTGTCCATGGCTTTAAGATTTGCATGTATTGAAATTGTCACCTGTTGAGAAGAAGTTGTACCCATAGGCCCACAGAGCGTTCGGTAGAAAAGTAAAAGCTTGTTAAACCTTCTTAGTTGGAACTATGAGATTACTACTTTTGCAGTGGTTGGTTTGTGGTATGGTAGTACAATGCCTGTAATTTTGATATTTTAAATTACTTTATATCGAAATAATTCCTTTAAAAATTTATTTTAAAAATGACTGCCTTTAAAAATATTCACACTTCTACTCTCACGCCCTTGCAGGAACCTGTATCAACAATACTTCAGTCATGATGTTTAAAAAGGGGAGCTTTGAAATTGGAGGAACCATACATCCAGTTGCAATTAAGGTAAAACATATAATAATAATAATAATAATAATAATAATAATAATAAAGATATTGGATTGGTAACTTTATTTTGGTAGTATTTCAAACTTAAAATTTGCAAAAATGAGGAGCACTTGTATGCTGTTTTCAGATGCACCTGTCCTATGCACTTTGCCTCCTCTGCTTTCTCGTGTGCTCTCTCTCTCTCTCTGTAGATAGGTGTGTTCTGGGGCACTCTGTGCCAGGTGTATTTGCTCGTAGCGTTAAGTGAAACAGTTGCTGTCCCTGCTTTAATCAGCCTTCTAGTTGAGTGTGGAGACAGATATTTAATAGTCACATAAATAACTCTTGTTGCTCAGCTCTGTGGTTCTATTTAGAAAAACAGCTCTAGTCAGACGTATTAGTTAGCTAGCTTGGTTTACTTTTTTTTCTTGACAAATTCTATCAAGTGAAATAACTTCCTTTTTTCTTAGAGTCTGATAAAAATGTTTGGCCTTCCGCCTTAAAAACATTAGGCATGGATGAGAAACCACCCTTAGTTAATAACTGGGATGTATTTTCTTTTCTTTTCTCTCAGTATAACCCTCAGTTTGGTGATGCATTTTGGAACAGTAGTAAGTACAACATGGTGAGCTACCTGCTTCGAATGATGACCAGCTGGGCCATCGTCTGTGACGTGTGGTACATGCCCCCCATGACCAGAGAGGTATTCTTTAGCTTATATGTTATCTAATCGGGTAAAGGCAAGGAGACCTTCATGTGAAAACCTAGGTGTCTCCCTTCTCCATGTCATGCTTTTCTGCTTTCTCAGCAACTGAGTCATCTTTTAAATAATGTATTTAGCTCACTTTAAATCAGACCATTTTATATTTAGAGCCTCTTTTTCATAATGGTTTTACAATTGCTGTTGGTTTATTGAACCTATAGATATTATCTTGGGTAAGACTAATAAAGAGTGATAAATATATGCACATGGGAAAAAATTAAACAATACAGCACTGCATTTTCTTGATAGAACAAATGATATTTGCTATGATTGACTAAGAATAGAAAGCATTTGAGCTGAAGCATGAATCTTATATTTTAAAACAAATATAAATGATTATGAGATGGTATTAAAAACTCAATACGCAAGATGTTCTTTTAACTTTTTTTTTTTAACCAGGATGGAGAAGATGCAGTTCAGTTTGCTAACAGGGTTAAGTCTGCTATTGCTACACAAGGAGGCCTGACTGAACTTCCCTGGTAAGAGATCTTTCAGAAGTACTATCGCTGTTTTTTTGTTTTGAGACAACGCCTCACTCTCTTACCCAGGCTGGAGTGCAGTGGCACAATCATAGTTCACTGTGTCCTTGTCCGCCTGGGCTCAAGGGATCCTCCCATCTCAGCCTCCTGAGTAGCTGGGACTACAGGTGCTTGCCCCCATGCCCAGCTATTTAAAAACTTTTTTGTAGAGATGGGGTGTCCCTGCATTGCACAGGCTGGTCTCAAACTCCTGGGCTTGAACTCCTGCCTCAGCCTCCCCAAGTGCTGGGATTACAGTCATGAGCCACTGTGCCTAGACTTTTTTTTTTTAAATTTAAAAAATCTCCGCTAATAATGCCATTTATCATTCTAGTTAGTTATAGGTTTAGCTGAAAGTAATAGTGGTTTATACATAACAATGGCTTAAGTAAGATAGAAATTCATTTCTCACTTAAACATAACCTGTCATGGCTGGTAACAGCTCAGTCTGTATTGCTTTACTCTCCTCAATTTGTTTTTCTCTTATGGTCCAAGATGACTGCTTCAGCTCTACTCAGTGTGTACAGCAAATGGCTATGAGGAAGGAGTTTTAAAAAGGACACACCCATCTCTAAGAGCACAGGCTGAAAATTATATATTCTACTTTTACTTGTATCCATTGGCTAATACTCAAGTCATGTGATAACACTTAACTGCAAAGGAAGCTGGGGAATGTAGTCTTTGTTCTGGATGGCCATCAGCCTATCTCACATTTGGGGTTATTTTTCTGAAGAAGAAAGGGAGAATGGATTTGGAAATGGGGTGGGTATTGGGAGGCAAGGGGCTACTTAAAGGCTCATTTATATTTAACTAGCTATAACTATATCATAAGAAAACTGAACAACTTGAAAGAAGTTGTGAAATTTTAATTATGGATCACTTTAGTTTTGGTTTTGGCTTTAGTTTTGTTTGTCTGAGGAAGATTGAATGTAGGTGAGTGTATTAGTCTGCTTGAGCTGCCAGACAAAATACAGTAGTCTCCTGTGGATAATGGGGGATATGTTCCAAGAGCCCTAGTAAATCCCTAATACCATGGATAGTACAAATCCTATATAGACTATGCTTTTTTCTATATGTACATAGCTACGATAAAGCTTAATTTATAAATTAGTCATAGTAAGAGATTAACAACAACAACTAATAGAACAATTATAATAATACACTGACTAATAAAAGTTATGTGAATGTGTTTCTCTCTTTCTCAAAATAGCTTAATATTTTCAGACCATGGTTGACTGTGGGTAACTGAAACCATGGAAAGCAAAACCTTGGGTAAGGGGAGAGTTAGTGTACCACAGACTTGGTGGCTTAAACAACAGAAATTCATTTTCCCACAGTTCTAAAGGCTGGAAGTTTGAGATCAGCATGATCAGTTTTTGGTGAGGTTTCTCCTCTTGTGTTGCAGATAGCTGCGTTCTCCTGTGTGCTTACATGATCTCTTTTTTGTGCAGGCACGAAGAGAGAGGGTGCAAGTTCTCTAGTATTTCTTTTTATAAGGGCACTAATCCCATCATGAGTGCCCTACCCTCATGACTTCATCTAACCATAATTACCTCCCACAGGATCCATCTCCAAATACTGCCATGTTGGTAGTTGGGGCTTTAACATATGAATTTTTGGGGGGACAAAAACATTCAGTCTATATCAGTGAAGGTTAACTATATTTATATTATAATGGGAGATTGAATTCTCTTTTTTCTTTTTTCTTTTTTTTGAGACAGAGTCTGCTCTGTCACCCAGGCTGGAGTGCAGTGGCATGTTCTGAGCTCACTGCAACCTCCCAGGTTCAAGCAGTTTTCCTGCCTCAGCCTTCCAAGTAGCTGAGACTACAGGTGTGTACCACCATGCCCCGCAAGTTTTTTTTTTTTTTTAGTAGGGATGGAGTTTCACTGTGTTGGCCAGGCTGCTCTTGAACTCCTGACCTCAGCCTGCCGGAGTGCTAGGATTACAGATGTGAGCCACTGAGCCTGGCTGGGAGATTGGATTCTTATTTACCTACAGGATGTTAAATTAGCAGGCTGTCACAAAACAGTCTATACTTACAGTCTTATAAAGTTAATAAAGTCCCTGCTGTTTTTCTTGGTGTTTCAAAAACACTTTGCATGAAGAGTTTATTTGAGGCAATTGTGGCAATGTTTCTAGCAGCAGGATTCGGCCAACTGATTTAGGCTATCAGTCAGAAAACCAAGGACCCTCCTGAACCAGCACAGGATGGTTTAAGGTGTCAGCCTCTAGAAGAAGGGCTGGCTGGATATTATACAGTAAGCATTTACTTCACATCATTGATAGATTGTTGTAGGTTGTGACTTTAAGCACAATGTCTTTATATTAGGTTCTGGAGTAAATAACATCGTTTTGTTCAATGTTATTTCTTTATAATGTTGATGAGAAACAAATTAGGTTTTGTTATACATCATTTTGTTTAAAGTTGCAGTTTCTAAGAAGCTATCAACAATGTTCAGGGAGGACTTACTGTACTCCATTATGCAAGGGTGGCGAATATCACTAAAATATTTATCCATTCACATAGTGTGAATACAACTAGTTGCATCCAGGTAAACCAGTTTCTGATATCCATTATGCTAATAAGCCACTAATTTCTACAGTGAAAACTCATTTCTAAAATTTGTTATGTGGCTGGGCACAGTGGCTCACGCCTGTAATCCCAGCACTTTAGGAGGTGGAGGTGGGCGGATCATGAGGTCAAGAGATCGAGACCATCTTGGCCAACATGGTGAAACCCTGTCTCTAGTAAAAATACAAAAATTAGCGGGGTGTGGTGGTGCACGCCTGTAGTCCCAGCTACTGGGGTGGCTGAGGCAGGAGAATAGCTTGAATCTGGGAGGCGGAGCTTGCAGTGAGCCAAGATCCCACCACTGCACTCCAGCCTGGGCGACAGAAAGAAACTCTGTCTCAAAAAAAAAAAAAAAAAAAAAAAATTGTTATGCAAGGGCTGGGCACAGTGGCTCATGCTTGTAATCCCAGCACTTGGGAGGCTGAAGTGGGTGGATCACCTGAGTTTAAGAGTTCGAGACCAGCCTGGGCAACATGGTAAAGCCCCTTCTCTACAAAAAGAATACAAAAATTAGCTGGGTGCTGTAGCGTGCACCTGTAGTCTCAGCTACTCCAGAGGTTGAAGTATGAGAATCCTTGAAACCAGGAGGTTGAGGCTGCAGTGAGCCGAGACTATGCCACAGCACTGCAGCCTGAGTGACAGAGCAAGACCCTGTCTCAAAAGTTAAATAAATAAATAAAATAAAATTTGTTATGCTAATTAACAAAACTTGGAAAATCAATGAGCAATAAAGATAAAGATAGCTGAAGCCATTAGTGGCACCTGTGAAAGGCAGGCTTCTGATTAAATGCTGGCTGACTACTGTGGAGTGTGAATTCTTGACCAACAAGGTCTATGACTTGAATTCCATACACCCTGGAGTATGAAACTGACTAGCCTTAAGGTATAGGTTAAGACTAAACATTTGTATCACACTATCTACATTGGAATATATTAAACAAAATGACAGACATCATAACATCATAAAACTATATAAAACTACCTTGGTCCACAAATGTTGTCCTAGCAACCTACAGTTTTATGTACAATGGGTTCCTTTTCCTTATTCATTTTTTAAAAACTCTCTACTCACCCTTTATCTTACCAGACACCCAGCCCTCCTGCTCCTACTCTGAAGTCAGTGTCTGTAGTCTCAGACACAGAGCAAGGGAAAAAAGCTTTGAGAGACAAAAAACAACCTAGAGGAGTCAGCCAAGTACAGACTCTCCATCAGACTGGCTGAATAAAATGATTCTCAGAATTGCCACTTTCCTTTTATCAGGCCATAAGCAATTGCACAATAAAAATTACTTTTAATTACCTAGCCTCTTAAAAAAAAAGAAAGTGACCTCATTGCCCTTCTAGATATATTTGCCATGTATTTGTTGGATATGAATTAACATATCTAGATTGCTTTTTTAATAGATTGAGCGAAAATATAATTTTGTGATCTTAAACTGGCTCTTATCTATGGTTACTGCCTTCTTTAAGAACTAAGATCTATTGCCATTGCAAAGGGGAATTGGGTAAAACTTTGAAGTCTCTAGGGGTAGCAAGTCACAGTTTAGGTGCTTAGCACAGCATGAGGTTTACTGGGTGCTTGGGAACTGTACAAACTGTACAAAAATGTAAAAAAAGTACAAAAATGGTGTCAGATTGCTCAAGACTTAAATTTTTGCCTGTTTTGGGCTTGGATCTCGTGAAAGGAGAAAAACCTTTCTTATCTCTCCCTCCTTTCCTTAGTTCTCACTATTCAGAATTCAGGTAAGTGCTGTTAATAGAAGAAGCTCATTTGGATAAAAGAGACTTGTGTGGACAATTCTGTGGACCTAACAACAATTTATAATCTTGTTTCTTGAAAACCTCCCACAACTGACTCCCCTGGATTATCTGTGGATCGCAGTCTGTTTTTAAGTTGAGGACTGATTGCTGTGTCTCAGATTTGACTCTAGAAGCCAGAACATTGCAGTGGTCTCAGGCAGGTGTCTCTATGGAGGTCAAGTTCTGTCCTCATGTCATTGAGTTCACTGGCTAACCTATGATCATCCATCATCATCAGAAAGCATTTGGTAAACATGCATGCTTGACTGGGTTAAAATTAAACAGTCACAGTATAAAGTAAGCAAGTTCTCAGCTCATGCTCTCCTTGGAGTTAAAATCTAAAACATTAGATTAGGAGGGAGATAGTGACCTCTGATAGTCCAGTCTACTCCCAGCAACTCCAGTTTATTTCTTGGGGTGTAATCCAAAGAAGGAAAAGCATACAGAGTTCTTATACCCAGGCAGGCATGTGTTTTCTCTACTCTGGAGAGAGTTCAAAGACTTACAGGCTCTGACTGAAAGAATGCTGCTTACGTAGGCACTTACTTCTAGTTGAATGCAATTTATCGTTTTGTTGTTTGTTTTACTCTGAGTCTGTTTATGGAATATAAAAGATTATAGACACTGGAAATATGATGTTTTGAATGAAAATACAACTTGTTAAACATAGATAGGGTTATATTTGAACGTTTTTTAAAAAATGATTATCTTTAAGAAATTTACCCACACATATACCGTACCCTTACCATTTCTTCTGCATATATTTTCAGTTTTCCTATGGTTTTCCAGTAAGACATAGGTAGATGAATACCAGTGTTTTGTTTTCCTGAGGGAACAAAATAGAGAAATAATCCAGTTTTAATAATCTTTGTTTCAATCCAAATATATATATATATATTTTGAGATGGAGTTTCGCTGTTGTTGCCCAGGCTGTAGTACAATGGCGTGATCTTGGCTCACTGTAACTTCTGCCTCCCATGTTCAAGCAATTCTCCTGCTTCAGCCTCCCAAGTAGCTGGGATTACAAGCATGTGCCACCATGCCTGGCTAATTTTGTATTTTTAGTAGACATGAGGTTTCACCATATTGGCCAGGCTGGTCTTGAACGCCTGATCTCAGGTAATTCACCCACCTTGGCCTCTCAAAGTGCTGGGATTACAGATGTGAGCCACTGCACCTGGCCAATCCAAATATTTAATATAGCATCCCTTAACTTCTAAAGAGAAACTGAGTTGGAGATATTGTTACTTATTTTAACCAAACATCAGAGAGATTGTTCCTTTAATGTACATTTAGCAAGAGGTAGGGCAGAGACTGAAACCTGCGTCTTCCTGTTTCCAAATCCAGTGTTCTTTCTCTTATTTCATCCCAGCTGCCTCAGTGTCATGGCATCATGCTGCATGTGACTATTAAGTTAACTCTTTTAAATCACCGCTGTAAAGTATCTTTTATGTATTTGTCTTTCTGTTCGCAGGGATGGAGGGCTAAAGAGAGCAAAGGTGAAGGACACCTTCAAGGAAGAGCAGCAGAAAAATTACAGCAAGATGATTGCGGGCAATGGATCTCTCAACTGAGTGACGGATGACAGCCTGTAGATATACTTGGCTTTCTAGAACTAGCCCTTAGAAATGGAATGGCTTTATTTTTTTTGTTTTGTTTTATTGTTTTGTTTTTATTATTGTTAATCTTTTCTACAGAATGATTGTCTCTACCTCTTTATGCCAGAGGCAGAACCTACAGGTGCCCTTTTTGGCTTTTGTTATTGTTATAACATTAGCCCAATGGATTGTAAGGTAGTTTACTGAGTTAAAACAGATTCTGCTTTTATAAAATGATGGCGTCACTGTTGACTGAATGAAATATTTGTACAGGAAAAAGTGTGTGTAAGGTGTGTTTGGAACTCATCGATAGGGTAATTCTCAAAAAATGCCCAAACTTTCTTTCTATACTTAACCTTGCCACTTTCTTCAGTCACTTAACTGGTGAGATTACACATCAGTGCAAGATGACCATTATGGTTATGGTCTACTTACTGTAAGGCTGAAAGAAAAATGGAGGATTATATTTAGGAAAAGGGATAACTAACTCTGTGGCCATCTGCTCCGAAAGTCAAAAGGAAATGTAAATTAGTGTTATTAGTGTGTTGGAAGAGAATACTATTCAGTAAGCTTTGCCAAAGAAAAGTGAGTCAAAGTTAATGTGTGTGTGCATTTATATGTAGGCAGCTCGTAGACACATTTTTAGCCAGCAACTGACAACAAAGCGCTTACTTTTCCTTGTTTGAATGCTGTAGATGGATACCTAGTTCCCTCCCATCTACTGATTTGTTTGTTTTTGTAACCAAACACATTTTCAGATAGAAGGAGCCTTAAAAAAAAAAAATCACATTGAGTATCTTAAGCATGGATGAATGAGAGTGTGTGGAGCTGCCCCTCACCCTCCACCCCTTTGTGGTTTATTCTCGAATTTTCCCAGTCTCTTTAAACAGAAAAAATTACTGATACTATAATTACCTTTCAGAAACTGAGCCTTAATTTTTTTTTAGAGGGGGAAATAAGTTTTTCCCAACTCACACAGCATAAGCAATGTTTGACAGCAATATGATGCCGTTGTATACTCCTGAGAGTATTATATCTGTTCTGGTAACCGTGTACAGAACGTGAAACTGTCTTCTCATGACTATAAATAAATTCTATATTTCTAAAGGCATGTTGCGTTATTTCCCCCTTCCTCTCCCCTTTTCTCGTTTTGAATAAGTTAAATTCATTCTTATTACAAACAAGGGTTGTTTGATTTTCATTCCAGTGGCATAGTTAGATTTTATTGGACTGGAACAAACAGGAAACAAGAACATGAGCCATGGCCTCCCCCGCCTCCCCCTGCTTAAATCTTGTTTTTTTAGCTGAGTTATTTGGACTCTGGCCCTGTGAACTCCACCTTGAGCAAAGTCACAGACTACAGTTATTTTGCAGGTGAATTCAAGCAATTATATCTAACTATCTAGGTAGGCTTGGCATAGCACTATCAGTGTATACTCTTCTTATCTAGCTAGCTAGTTGGATTTTATCCCAAAAGGAAACTTGCAAACAGGTTACTCTCCTGGTCATATACCTCTCTGTTCTCACTCTCCTCACTTTCCCTTTGTTGTTTGTTTAAATTTTGCCCCACAAACTCTAGTAGGAGTGATCTTGACTGAAAATTAGCAAATCCAAATATGTATGTTGGGTGACTTTTTGTCTTATTTATATTTTCTCAGAAAAAGGAGTGCCTTTATTTAAAAAAAAAATTATGTTAATTGTGGCTTGAATTAATGAATCTATTTCATTAGCCCAGTTCTCAGCAAAGTGTATCTTTCCAAGAGCACTGTAAAAATCCCAGTGCCTGGGCCTTGCTCTGACTTTGGTCTTCCAGCAGTGTGCAGGCCCGCTCTGCCTCCTGGCCTCAGCCTTTCTCTTTCATCATTGTTCACTTCACTTTCATCCACCTTCTGCCCTTGTCCCCAAACCTAAAAAAAACCAAAAAACAAAAACACAATGCTATCATGTATTTGCTAGATAACCTAATAGTGTCTCAGTCAGAGCTTTTGTCTCGTAGGTGTGATTCACACAACTGGTTTCCAGGTTGCTTAAGGAACTGCCATGTTGTTGAAACCATGTTTTTGGGAAGCTGATATTGCTCATATTTAGCATATGCTCCTTAGAACTCCTTTTACGTTTGCTTTCCCTAATATTATTCCATACTCACTTCAGAGATATTGTGTCCAGAGTTTAGTATTCCTGAGTCTTCCGTAATTATAAGGCAATATGAAGGGAAGGTGGGATTTGGTAGAAAAATCTCATCAGATAAGTAAGACCTTTCATCTAACCCTTGCATACGTTCATGAATTGAGCTTTGAGGTTGCCCTATTTTTATTTCAATTATTTGTTATGTGGTCATATTTATAGGCAGCAGGTTCTAGGAATGCCAAGGGTTTCTAAAATATCATGCCACATTCTGAGATTGGATGAGCAGCCATGTGTGAAACAGTAAATATACTCAGAGCGCAGGGGAAATAGTTTCGGATGCCACTCTGGGGCAAAGAACAGTCTCAGGGGAAGTTTCCTTGCGTCAACAGACTTTCCAAGGTGTAGTCACCTTTGTCTTGGTGATTAGCATGATCTCAGTGCATATGTTGCAGTTTGCGCATTCTGTTGATATTTAACTTACATAATAGGGATTGTTGATTTCTTGTGATTACAAATAATGTATTGTAGTCATGAGGACTGCCTCTTGGCAAAGCTGCTCTCAGGCCTTTTTTTTTTCCTTAAATGTGGCATCACTGATCTAAACTGCTTCATGATAGAAAAGGGTAGGTTATGATGGGAGGATAGGCCGGGGGTAGAGGTGGAGTGGAGGGAAGTGGGGAAGAGTGTTGTGGGGAGGGGGATGGAGGGCAAGGCTGGGATCTGGGATCGATACTGCTAGGGGCCCTGATAAGTATCTTTACAAAAGCTGTGTGTTTGCTTTTGTTTTTTAACACCTGTTTCTAGTGGATTGATACAACATATGATTTAAAAAAAAAATGGTTAAGATAATGGGATAGAGAATCATAAAACATTTTCTTTACTTTTTTCTTTCTTTCTTTTTTTTTTTTGAGATAAAGTCTCACTCTGTTGTCCAGGCTGGAGTGCAATGGCGCAATCTCAGCTCACCATAACCTCCGCCTCCCGGGTTCAAGTGATTCTCCTGCCTCAGCCTCCTGAGTAGCTGGGATTACATGTGCTACCATGCCTGGCTAATTTTTGTATTTTTAGTAGAGATGGAGTTTTGCTGTGTTGGCCAGTATAGTCTCGAATCCCTGACCTCAGGTGATCCACTCGCCTCAGCCTCCCAAAGTGCTGGGATTACAGGCATGAGCCACCATGGTTGCCCAATCTTTTTTTTTAAATTACACTTTCCTTCTGTAATGCTCAGCAAATATTTGTTATTATTACTACTGCTGTAAGCAAGAATTGGTTATTGGTTCATAATGTCTTCTACTGGCCATATGTCTTCATTAGCTCAGTTCATGTTCATACCCTTTTTATAGGTAATAGATTGTAACTTCTCAATCCTATGTCTTTTCCTTCAGAATTAGCCCTGTTCCTAAATAAAATAATTTCAGTCATCCACAACACTGTCTTGCAGACATATTTTTCAAAATTGGTCTGTCTAGGGAAAGGGCTTTCCTTTGATTTTGTTGATTTTTTTCCTCTTGTGTAGTGGCTGTGCCCAAAATGTAAGGAAAATCAAGAAATTGTAAAACGAGGCTATTCATATTAAATGTAAAACATAAAGTAATATTTAAATTAATCTGTGGCTTGTAAAAACTTTGGAAGCTTATATAATGAACTAATGGCACATAATTTCTGAATTTTAATTAGATTCTTTTTGTTGGTATTTGAAACATCAGCCTTAGCATACCTATTTTTAAATTATTATTAATCGATATATAATTGTATATATTTATGAGGTACAGTGTGGTATTTTGATATATGAGTACAATGTGTAGTGATCAAATCAAGATAATTAGCAAATCCATCACTTTAAACATTTACCATTTCTTTATATTGGAAACATTCAAAATATTGTCTTTCAGCTATTGAAAATATACAATAGGCCAGGCATGGTGGCTCACATCTGTAATACTAGTACTTTGGGAGGCTGAGGCGGGCTGATCACCAGAGATCAGGAGTTCTAGAGCAGCCTGGCCAACATGATGAAACCCCATCTCTACTAAAAATACATAAATTAGTTGGACATGGTGGTGTGTACCTGCAATCCTAGCTACTTGGGAAGCTGAGGCAGGAGAATCACTTGAACCCAGGAGGTGGTGGAGGTTGCGGTGTGCAGAGATCACGCCACTGCACTTCAGCCTGGGCAACAGAGTGAGACTCCATCTCAAAAAAAAAAAAAATACACACACACACACAAACAATAAATTGTTAACTATAGTGCCTCTACAACGCTATACAGAACACTAGAATTTATTTCACTTATCTGGCTGTAATTTTGTAACTTGGAACAAATCTCTTCCTATACTCCCCTCCCTCCAATCCTTCTCAGCCTCTAGTAATCACTATTCTACTCTCTACTTCTATGAGATCAACTTTTTTAGCGTCCACATATGAGTAAGAACATGTGGTATTTATCTTTCTGTGCTTGGCTAATTTCACTAACCATTAATGTCCTCCAGCCTCAGCCACGTTGCTGTGAATGACAGGATTTCATTCTTATATATTTATTTATTTTTGTTGTAGATTTCATTCTTTTTATGGCAGAATAGTATTCCATTGTGTATATACACCACATTTTCTTTATCCATTCATCTGTTGATAGACACAGATTGATTCCCTATCTTGGCTACTGTAAACAGTGCTGTAATAAACATGGCAATGCAGATATCTCTTTCACATTTTGATTTTCTTTCCTATGGATAAATACTCAGTACTGGGATTGGGGCATCATATGGTAGTTCTGTTTTTAGTTTTTGAGGAACATCCATGCTGTTTCCTATAAAAGCTGTACTAATTTAGGTCTTAACCAACAGTGTGTAAGAGTCCCCCTTTCTCTGCACCTTTGCCAGCAGTTGTTACCTTTTGTCTTTTTGATAGTAGCCATTCTAACTGAGGTGAGATGCTGTCTCATTGTGGATTTGATTTGCATTTCCTTGATGATTAATTATCTTGAGCATTTTTTTTTTGTAAACTTGACCATTTGCATATCTTCTTTTGAGACATGTGTATTCAGATCATTTGCCCATTTAAAAATCAGATTATTATTCTTTTACTATTGAGTTTTTTTAGTTCCTTGTATGTTCTGGATATTAATCTCTTGTCAAGGTTGGGTGCAGTGGCTCATACCTGTAATCCCAGCATTTTGAGAGGTGGAGGTGAGAGAATAGCTTGAGGCTAGGAATTTGAGATCAGCCTAGGCAACACAGTGAGACCCTGTCTCTACAAAAAAAAAAAAAACTTTTTTTTTTAATCAGCTGGGCATGGTGGTGCATGTCTGTAGTTCTAGCTACTTGCTAGAAGCATAAGGATCACTTGAGCTTAGAAGTTTGAGGTTGCAGTGAGCTATGATCACTCCAGTCTAGCCTGGGTGACAGAGTGAGACCCTGTTCAAAAAAAAAGAAAAAATTCCTAGCTTTGCACAGTGGCAGTATTGCAGCCAACGAGGTTTATCCAAGGTGCAATTATTGCTAATTAAAACTTTTCACAATAATTTGCTGTTATGACTTGCAATATAGTTAGCCTTGGCCATCTTTGACCGTCTCTACAGAGACTGATAAACAAAACAAACAAACAAAAAATTCCCGTCAGATGACGGAAATTTTTTTCCCATGCTGAAAAAATCTTTTCCCATGCTGCAGGTTGTCTGTTTAACCCATTTATTCTTTTCTGTGCTGTGCAAAAGCATTTTGGTTATATATGATTCCATTTGTTTATTTTTTCTGTGCTTTTAAAATCTAATTCATAAATTTTTTGCTCAGACAAATGTACTGAAGCATATCCCCTGTTTTCTTCTATTAGTTTAATAGTTTTGGGTGTTTAAAGAAGACCAATGTCCTCAAGCATTCCCCTTGTTTTCTTCTAGTAGTGTCATTGTTTTCAGTTTTTCATTTAAGTCTTTAATCTGTGTTGAGTTGACTTTTGTACTAGGGAACTAGTCTCATTTTTCTGCA